CCTTCCTTCCTTCCTTCCTTCCTTCCTTCCTTCCTTCCTTCCTTCCTCCCTCCCTCCCTCCCTTCCTTATGATCAATATTAAACTTTTAAAACAAGTGTCTCCCTTTCCCAACACACTTTTATTTCTTCCTCAATGTTAAAATTCAGAGCTGAGTAAAAAATGAGTCCTCTAGGTATTCTTCCCTATAATAACTTTGCGCATACACAGTGCAATGTTGGCAAGCACCTATAAACACTCTCCTTACATCCTATTCTTAAAGAACTTCCAGTCAGGCTTATTGACTTACGAAAGCACAGGCAACAATTTTAAGCTTCTTTTAGACCTACCAAGCTAATGCCTCGACAACTAAGGAAGGCCAACTCAATTCAAACAGTACTAGCTTTCAATAGATGTATTTTCTTGAGAAACGTCTGGGAACTGGATGCAAACCAGGAAAGATAATCTCCATGTTTTAAGAGATCAAGGAAAAGTAGATGAAACAAATGCTACGTTATCTCTAACGGCATTCAGTGAAATTTTCCCTTTTGGAGATTTTAAGTTATAATACAGGCCTCAGGTTAGGAGGCCAGGCACTCAGGAGAGGACCAGACACACAAGCGTGGGTTCCTCAAGGGAGTTCCCTTGATGAGTGTCCACATTTCAAGATTAATTACAAGGAACTCAAAATGTTCACATTCGCTAAAATAATGACTGCTGAATATGTCAGTGAACTTATCCAACTGAAAAGTATGTTGTCAGGTGGGGGTCAGAGGTTATTCGTTTGACAAAGAATATTCATGACTGACTTTTGGAAATGGAAATCCACTGGGGTTTTAAGCATCTACTTCAGCTTAATAGATTAAGTAAAGTATTCTGAATACGGTTTAATTTTGTCACTTTGGAATTACTGAAAGCATTTCTTTTGCACACAACCGCCCAGCCATTAGATCTACCATTTTCTGAATGCACTTCTTTTATGGCAAGAAAAAAAACCAGTAACAAAACAAACAAAAATCAAAGGTTTCCACGAGAGGCTTCGAAACAAAAAAAATAATATATACATATTAAAAAAGATAAAAATATATACATAAAAATAATATGTACATATTACTTTGTATATAAAAATAATATATACATATATATATATATATACATATGTATGTACATCATGAAAAAATGAGACCGAAAGGCAAAATTGTTGAGTAGAAACAGTGGACACAGGGGCCGGCTTTACAAGTAAGAGCGACTGCAAAATAACAGAGGACGACGGGCGATGAAGAGAGCAACCCGGAGGGAGGTTGGGGTCGGGTGCCGGGGCCTGCCGGGCTGCCGCAGGCCCTCGGGCGCCCGCTCCCCTCGCTCGGGCCTCCGCCGCCCGCGCGCCCCTGCTCGGCCGCCCGCACTCACCGAGAGCTCCGCACGCTGCCCGAGGGCGGGAGGCGGCACAGCGCGGACCGGGAAGCGCGCGAGGAGGCGCGAAGGACACCGAACCCGGGCGGGACCCCTCCAACCGCTAACTTGCAAACCCTCGGAGCCGCAGAACCGGGCGGCACGCATCTTGCCCGCAGCCACTTCCGGAAGCTCTCTAGGAAGCTGGGAGGTCTGAAAGCTCTATGGTAGGCCGGCAAAAGGACCCAGCGCCGCGCCTCCTGGCTGTCAGCTGCGCCGGGCGGCTTAGCCACTCCGGGGCCTAGGCACATCCTGAGGAGTGTGGTAGCTCTAGGTCGCCGACGCGTTTGCCTGGCCAGCCTCGGGCTTCAGCTGGCAAGCGCAAGAGTTGGTTGTCGATCGTAGACTCAGAGGCCTGGGCTGGGCTCGAGGAGTGTACCTAACGGATTTCTCTTTTACACGGTGCTTTCCTGTTAATGCTTCATGAATGACTCCAAATTTCCAGCACACCGCAAACTGAGGAGATTAGCCCTTTACAATACCTAGGAATAGTAGTACATCTTACGCTGTAAAGTTCCTACTGACCACTGTATTCCCTTTAGCTGTGATGTGTTTTCAGCCTCCCGATACTTTATCAATGGAAACAACAAAACTTCTGCAAAATAACCTCACCCCTAAACGTAAGATTTAAAGAGGGTATTTAGGTTATTAATAATGGTGGAAAACAATGAACATTGGTTTACTTCTTAATTTCAAAGGTGACTTTTTAATCTATTGTAACTTGTCAGAACAGAGCTGGTGGGTCTCATTCTCATCTAGGGGAAATGAGGCAGAGGGAAATTGAATGTCTTACCTAGCGTCATGTAATGAAATGGCCAAGTGAAACCTGGAATAGAGGTAGAAGTCATGTTCAACCAGGAACTGGCATACTTGGGTGACACAGTAACAAAGTTTGCCTTTTGTTCTTATTTTGTTGGTTTGTTTAGACGGATTCTCTCTGTAGCCCTAGCCGGACTCAATTCAGGGCAAATCTCCTGCCTTACCTTCTCAAGTGTTGGGATTATAAACATGAGCCAACACACCGGTTTAAAGTCTTCTTCAGTAACAGTGATTCGTCTTTCAAAACTGAACTAAATGAGAAATAAGATAACATTTGGCCCGCATTGTTTGGTTAGGGTTTTTAAATGATGTCTGCCTTTTTGCCCACTTTAAGGAAACCTCATGGACTCTGCAGTAGGATCTGACCACTTCTTAGGCCTAAGCATTAAAGAACTTTCAGTACTTTTCTCCTTTTAGCAGACTTTATTTACCATATAAATTCTCCGATATCTAATAAAAGCTAGACATACACAGAACTCTTCCACCCACAGGGTTTTCAGCTGTGTGGATTCTCTGATGTTGAAGAACACCTGTACGCTGACTGGGATCTTTTACTCTCTACTATAGGGCCTCACTGCAGTGTGTACTCTACAATGTCCAACAAGGTGTGATCATTGAAGGAAGTTTTTTTTAGAAACAATTATTACATTTATAGAGCTTCTCCCCAGTGTAAGTTCTCCTCTGAGCTGCTACTGAAAGTTTTGTCATATTCATCACATTTTCAGTCTTCTTTTCCTCTGTCACAATTTTAATCACTTGCCATTTTTAACAGCAGGTTTTTCTGTTAGGATGCTGAGATATATCTTTGCTAAGTCTGTTTATCACCCCAAGGAATTCTGTATCTACAGGCATATCTTCCTTTTGGGATGACTCTTCATTCTTATTCCTGGTTTTATCACCATTAACAAACAGTACATAAGTGTATTCTTTTCTAGGTTTGAGAAAGAAAAAGCCAATGGAAGAAACAATGTATAAATATAAAATAACAAAACAATATATATCGTATATTACATATATAATATATTTGATACTCTATTTTGGTTTTGGTAATATTCTAGCATATTCAATATAAAAAATACTAAGAGAGATAAGCAGGGGGATAATTTATGTGTGAATTTGTTAAGAAGAGGAGGCAAAAACGTGGATCAATGGATTATCTAGCAATGCTATACTCTGGGAAATAGACTGTAAATATGCCAAGAGTAAGGAGGGTCATCAAGGCCAGAGGATAGTGAGGCAGACTGTAGAAGAGGATAAAGACATAGAGCATCGTCAGTGCTTTTCAGAATTGATCAATATTTTGATTTTATAATTGACAGCACTGCTAGAGATCAGCTCCAGCACACAGAGAGAGGTGGGTCGCAGCATCAGCCATGACCAGATGAATGGCTGGTGTTTCCCTCTACTGCTCTTAAACTCTCAGGCTGGTAGCCTTGTTACTCTCTATACACACTTTAACTCTTAAACTTCCAGGCTGGTATCCTTGCTATTTGGTGCTCTCTATATATACAGTTTAATTCTACATGTACACTTTACCTCTATATACAGTTTAACTCCCAGGGGCCACTGGTCATGACAGCCTTTAAAGGAAAAGGCAGCAAAGGGTCTTAATCAGTCAAGCCAGGGGGCTCTTTTGACTCAGAGTACAAGTGGCTGCAGCCCTGACAGTTTCTTGCTGTAAATACAAGGGGTTGTAAAAAGAAAAACCTTAGTTCCTTTCAACTTAATGGCTGAGCAGTGAATAGTTCCTTGCTGGAAAGTAGAGTCCTAATGAGGGCCCACCCAAGAATGAAAACAACTGTAAAAGAAAAAAAGCTGTGACTATTCCCATCCTTGAATTAAAGCCAGAGGCATGTAGCTCTTGAACAGCAGGATGAACTGCTCTGAGATAGCCTTGAATTGAAGCCAGAGGCAGATAGCTCTCCAAGGGCAGGATGAACTGCTCCGAGATAGTTTTTTAAAAAATAAGGGCAGGGTGAATTGTTTTGAGAAAACTCACAAACGGCCAAAAACTGCAAACAACTAGCTGTAAACTATCTTCATGCTATTCTTGCTGACCAATCAATGTATAGAGCAAAAGTGGCCAGATTTTTAAGTATAAAAACCCTGTGCTTTGCATGCTGGGGGTCGTCTCCTGCCTTTGGAGGGGCGACCCTATTGTGACTGGAATAAAAAAACCTCTTGCTTTTGCATCGAGTTGTGGTCTGTGGGAGTTCCTGGGAAGAGTGCAACCTTGAACTCCTGAGCTGTGAGACCCCAGGTCTTAAACTAATTAAGAAGGGCATTAAGACTGCTTATCGCTGACTAAACTTAATGACTTAGAAACATGCAAAAATGTACACCTTTGGCAGACAAAGCAGGCAGATATTTATAAACTTCACACACACGTACACATACAATCAATAGACAAAACAAGGAAGCTCCCAAAGGCACCATTCTTCCACATATATAAACACACATACATAAGTATACATATATACATATATACAATTAGACAGACACATTTTTGGATGACCTCAACAACTGTATAATTCTGTCTTGGGTTTTTATAATCTCTAATACAAAGGTTCTCCATGTATGGAAAAAAATTACATCATTGAAAAATAGATAAACAAAAGGGGAGTTACAGTAGAACTATTAATCCTAATATCTAACTAGATATTTTGTTTAATATAAGTTAAAAGCAGCAGTTTTATCTATATGCTCAGTATGAGTTCAGAGCAGAGGTTTTATCTTATTTCATATGTACAAGTTTTTTATGTCAAGGTTGTTTCTAAGAAACAGGTGTCTGTCTTGTATAGCTAATTATTTATTGTTTTTTATATTCATACGGTCTTATCATGGTGTACACCTGGGCCTTATCTGTGGATCCAACTTAGAATGAATGTAAATCATACGGAGGTTCATATAGCCTCTAGCAGTTTTAGTTAAACTGCAGGAGGGTTTCAAAATTACTTGAATCAAGTCAGAAATTCTTTTAAAATCACCGCCAGGGGTTATGAAATCATCAGTTCGTTTAAACAGCACTGTGAAGGTACATCTTCAAAATAATCTGCAGGAAATCTGCCCAACAGGGTGAAGCTATAAGCAGTGAGGGTCTCTACCATGCCAGCTATATGAGACGCGCATGGGAAGGCAGTGTAGCGACAATAAGCAGTCTTGAGGCAAAATCCTTGGGGCCTTGCCTACACCAGGCGTACACCCATTTGTCAGCTGTGCAAAACGAGTGGGCCGCCTCCAGGAAGCTCACTTGCTTGCTTCTGCTAATCCAGCATGTAATTGCTCCCATCACTAAGAATCCTACTTTGCAAAAGCATACAGTCCCAAATAGCACAAGTATGGTTGGGGCCGTTTCAGGAATTGTTTGGAATTCCGTCTTAATCACAAGCTAAAGTTCATTTCATGATTTTGTTTTTCTTTATGGCAAAGTTTCGTAAAGTTCAAGTCGGCTTCAAACTTTGTATTTGAGGATGACATTGAACTCTTCATGTCCTCCTATCTCTACTGGCCAAGTGCTGAATTATGGGCGTGTCTCACGATCCCTAGCACCCTTAACATTTTTCTTAAAAATGAAACTCAAGTCAGCACCTCAGACAGAAATCACAAATTTAAAATGTTCTAAAATGAATCAATCAGAGATAGGCTAGTATGCATTATTTAATACATTCTGAGGAACAGTGGTAGAAGAATCTAAAAAGTATTTTGTTGTCCCTGATTAAATCACCTCTCTATAAAAGAAGAAAACCTTGTAAGTGTGGTAGAAACTCTGAGGGCTGTAAGATACGATGGTCCTGCTTTTGAGCTGAGGTATTTGCTGTCATTGTGCAGCTTGATGGCAAGGGGGTCGTGAAGCGCTCACCTTGTGTGTTTAGAAGCACATCTGCTGTGAAGTCATGTGTTCCAGCACGGGAAAATGCTGCCAGGGATGTCTGTAATTCATTAGATATTTGAGCTAGAATTTACACCTGTTACAGGTTCATAAGTCTTTGGGGTTATTATATTGGGTCTTCTTGAGAGACGTTTGTACTTTTGTGGGGGTTTTGCTGTTTTAGGCAATGTCACACTCTGTGTCGCCCGTACCGGCCCACAGCTCATCCTCTCCCTGCCTTGTGCTTTGGTATGCTACAGTTTCAGGTTTGGTTCACTGTGTTCACCCCTCTGGACTTTTACGAGTGCCAACTCTCTCATGATGAAATCCACTGGCAATGTTCTTGTTTGCCTGTGCTTATCAACTCAGTGTTACATATTTTCTTTTTCTTTGCCAATCCAATAGCTGAAAAAAAAAAAA